TCGTATGTCCCCTGAAAGTAGCGACGCTCGGTAGTGTACTGTGCGGCTAGCACAGGTACAGCAAAGTTAGCCCAGGGTCGGTAGACCACACTAGGATCCTACAAAACATCTATGTAAGATAGATGCTAACAAAAGAATGATAATTAAAAGGCAAATGTTCATGAGAACCTACCGAGAGGATCAACTCTCGAAGACGTGCAACCTCGACCTGACCGCGGTGACCTCCCATACTAGCAGCAATAGGGAGCTCGCGAGGAGATGGTCCCGCTGGCACAAGTGAAGGGAAATACTCGTAGAACCAAATCTACATAGATAACGAAAATCAGTAAAAGCTTACACTAGTCTAGAGTTAAATTTCAAAGGGACAGAAATATACCTCTACGACCCTCCAGAAGCTGGAAAGTGCGATCTTTCCAGATAAGGCCTTGTGACGGCAGGAACGTCGCAAGCCTAGAAGGAAATCGGCATAGGCCAAACTGGCCCAGTCATATGTCCCGACCAAGTGAAGGTCGCGAACGACTCTAAGGTAATAGAGGAGCACTTGACTACCCTTGTCAGGGGAAAAGGTCCCTGACAACAAGATCAACACAAAGATTCGCACCCGCTGCTCGCGAGTGGTCGCATCATCCTCGAAAGCCACTACCAGCGTGCAACGACGAATGCACCGGGAACTGAGCTGTCCCGACTAAGCCTCGTCACGGGCCCGAACAGCAATCGGACCCAACAACTCCAGAACAATCGGCGTGTACACAGTAATGTCGATGTCGAACGGTAGCGGTGTAGACTGAAACTCCAGTCCCGTAATGAGACTAAAGTCGGTTGGAGTGATTGTCATCTCACCCCATGGAAAGTGGAAAGTGTTGGTGGTGTCCTAAAAGAACTCCACCAAAGCTCGAATGACGAGGTTACCCCCATCGTAGGAAAACATGGCCTGGGTGGCCCGAAGAAGAGGAGTCAACCCACATGACTCCCAAAGTTGTCGCAACGCGTCATCTCTACTGAAAAATGGGTCGTAAAGCGTGCCGATTGTAGAGTTGCTCGAACCGTGACTACGGGTCCTCCCACTCTCGAGACCACATCGTACTCGCTTTGACAGGTGGTGTGCAGGAGCGAATAAAAGAGTGTGCTCATCCCACTCTAGGAGAGGTCCAAGTCTGGACGTGGACGGAAGGTCCTCACTCTCCCTAGCAGGCTCGTCCACCCGGCGCGAGTCCCTCGACCGAGAACCAGAACCGCGTCGTCTAGCCATGCTATGTTATGCAAAGTAAATCAAAATTCAAGGTTCTATAGTATTTAAGGTTCGCATAGCCGCATGATACTATGTTCGCAAAAACAGAGTACGTAGTACTAAAATAGAGCATAAATTCAATCTAAGCATAATTAGGATTTTCAAGCAACCAAACAATTTCTTGCAATACTATGGCAAATATTGTGACAAATTGTACAAGAAAAACTAGCAAAAACGCAAAGAACGGGTCACATTTTTCTTCGCGACCTCGAGAGGTCCAACAATGGTGAATCGCTCGTTTCTTCACCAAATTGAGTCAAACAAGTCTCAAAATACTCCCAAGGAAATATACAATCATAATAAAGCAAATTCGTGGCATAAAAAAGCAAATTCGTGGCATAAAATTCGACAAACAAAGAAAATTAAGCAAAGTAAGTTTCGAATTTTTTGAAAATTCGTGAACAAGAACATACAATTCATCAAAAACCGGAGTGAGTTTGAGTAAAACTTACATAGATCGAGAAAATAGATAAGATAAGCTTCGATTTGCAACAAGTTTGAGCGAATTCGGCTAAGAAATGGGCAAGAACGATCGAGTTGAAGTTTCGAGCAAAATCGCGGAAATGTAGAGCAGCGGCGAAAAAATGAAGAAGAAAGGGAGGGTATTTAAAAACCCGACCCTGTTGCCAAACGACAGATTTGTCGCGCGGCGACAAGCATTTCCAGTGTGCGCTGGAGTGGCGACAAAATACAAGGCTCCATATTTTGGTTATACGGACCTCGTGCAGCAGTTTGGGTTCCTTGGTACGCCGGTTAGCCCCTATAGGCAATTTGACATGATTTAGTGATCTGCTCGATTACAATCACATTAAGTGATCGACCTGATAAAAGATCATCTCACTTAGCTTGAAGCACCTAAGTATTAGCTCATTGCAAAGGCACCGAAGTAATGGTTCATAAACGGCAAAGGCACCGACATAATGGTTCATAAACAGTAGAAGCACCAAAGTAATGGTTCACAAACAGCCGAAGCACCGACGTATTGGCACAATAGCAACATTCAAGCAATATCAAAGATCAATAAGTAGAATGATCTTCGACGATGTTCTAAGGTAGAGAGGAGATTGTCTAGAGCGGCGAAGCACTGCCGTGGCGAGGTAATGCCACAACTCTGAAGATGGCAAAGTATGGTCACCTTCGACGATATCCCGAGGTATGGAGAAGATTGTCTATAGCGGCGAAGCTCTGCCGTGGCGAAGTACTGCCACAAACCTGAAGATGACGAGGTACGGTCACCTTCAACGATGTACCCGAGGTACTGTGGGGGATTGTCACCAAAAATATTGAAGATGGCGAAGTAATGTTACCTTCAACGATGGCATTCACGAGGCACTGTGGAGGTTGACACAAAATGCAACAACGAAATCGGTTACTTTCAGAGAGGTGTGCTCGACGGTGCAAGATACGCGTTTCTTAACTCTCTTTATTTGTTTAACTAACGCTAGTCTGCAGGTATCGGCGTAACAAGAATGATTTAGGATCACAGAACGTTCTGAATCATTCTCCATCCCTATCGCTACTTTGACTTTTGTTTCGAAACCTAAGTTTCTCCAAACTCAGTCAAAGTGGGGGCTTCTGTAGACACCCATTTGTGTCTCCCCAAAACCAAACCCAGTGATGAATACCTTTCGCGTCGAACCATAATCGAATGAGGTGAAAGTGTGAAAAGTCAAGTGTTGCGGTTAGTTTTTGTTAAAATTCTCTTCTCTCTGTTTTTGAAAACAACCTTATTTTATGAAAAATAGCCAATCCAGTTTATTTTGGTCCGTTACAAGGGTCCAATAATAGTGTAGTTGGATGGGGCTCGCAAAGTCCTTTCTTACAATATATTATAAGCCCAATTCCGATGAATAATGAGGAAGTTATGGCCAAAATACTAAACTGGGTCCGGTTTGTTCTTTACATGCGGCCCAATGATCTAGAGGAGGGCCCAATGTTAATTATTATTCCTAAAATTATTAGGATTAATTATAATTTTCTAGAAGTCTCTAGAAGGTTATTTTAAATTCTAATAGAGTTAGGATTAATGATTATATTAGGATGGATTTTTATTTAGAAAAAAATGTTATTATTTTATTATTTTATTAAAATACGATTTTAGCTTTTGTACGGATTCCGTAGATCAAATTTGGCTAAAGATCGGATTCCACATGGAAAGCGCGTAAAAGCCAGGTTGTCGCCAAACGACAAGTCTGTCGCCTCGCGACAATCCTTGTCGCCAAGCGTAGAGTGGTTTTGCGGCGACAGCGTGTAGTTTTATTCCGTATCAAATTCTATGCTTTTCCGGACTATTTTTCTTATAAATAGGGTTCTCGACCTCCGTTTTTCAAGGATCAACTCTCATCAAGGATTCCTTGATATTTTCTCTCTTTCTGAACCAACCCTTTTTGCAAACACAATACCGCATACACAAGATCTAGACACACCTAGCCAAGTTCGAAGTTGCCTTCGCCCTAGACGTGAAAGGTTGATAATTTCTGAGGGTTTGGTCCCAAATCCAGTCTAAACTTTTTAACTCTTTCTTTCAATTATTTAATTTAATTATTTGATTTATTATTTCATTGAAGTTTACTAACGCGTGTATTTTGTTATTAGAAAGAGGTACGAGGCTTCCAAGTAATAAATTAGTTTACTTTCTTTTTAATTTCAATGTAGAACGCTTGCTTAGATTTGTTTAATTCCTAGTATCATCTTAGGATGTTATTTATTGCTTTCTAGAATCATGTTTAGGGTGCTTTTATTCTTTCTAATATCATGTTAGTACCATGTTAGGTTTAAAGCTTTGATTTTTTATGCTTAGTGACATGCTAGGATTTGTTATTAATCTTGTTAGTATCATGCCTAGGATCTTGCTATTACATTTTTGCTTTATTATTAACATGATTTTTATTATTATTATAATTATTATGATCATTATGATGATGGTTATTTATGTTGCTTGATTTATATTGTTGTTATTGCTTGATCACGCCTTTTATGCATGTATAAAGGGACTTTGTACTTGAAATCACGTTTAATAAGATAATTAATAATTTCGTTTAGGCTAATATGATTTTAATTCAAGTGATCGCCAATAATAGATTTATTTGTGCATTAATATTCAACCAACATAGATAAACAGGTTTAGGATTAACCTATTGATTGCATGTTAGTCGGAAAGCGCACATGAATACGAGTAGAACAAAGTAAAGGCCTATTTTATAGGGTGAGTCCTTTCTTTTGTAGATTGGATTCGTACCCTCATCCCCGAACCCTATTTGGTTCTTGACCTTATGGAGTTGACGATCTCATGGATCGTTAAGGGGTGTAACCTTCACCTCGTGATTGGTTTACAAGTTCCCAAAACTTGCTAGCGACTCTTCTGTTCTCTTTTCTTTCCCTTTGGACACCACCATATTTAAATGTATGATCACAGTGGGGTTCAAGCTTGGGGTTATGATGCTTGAAATATTCCCTACCGAATCTCATCCAATGAAGCGTTAAAAATAACCGGAAAAGTAGAAGATGGACCAAGAAACTCATACCTCAAGTTGGATGGTAGAGGTTTTAGCTCTACACTTGGACATTCCTTACCATTGTCGTTCATGAGTTCTTTCTTCACTTCTTATTCTCCAATCACTAGGTTTGCTTCTTCCTTGTCCATGGGCGTGGAGTCAAGAATCTCCTCAATTGGCTCCATCTCCATGTCTTCATTGCAAGACCTATCTTTGCTTTAAAGTTCATACTCAAGAGAATCATTAGTGTTATGCAAATGAAATTGTATGGATTCATTAATAACATTCTCAACAATATCAATACTCATCCAATCATCCATGTTGGAAGGACATTTCATAACTTGGTTCAATTTGAATTCCACTTTCTCTTTTCCAACAAGCAAAGACAATTTACCATGTTTCACATCAATAATAGCCCCCGCCGTGGCTAAGAAAGGCCTACCTAGAATTATGGGGACATTCAAGTCCTCATCCATATCAAGCACAATAAAGTCCACCGGAATGTAAAGTTTGCCCACCCTAAGGGGGACATCCTCTAATTTTCCCAAAGGCATCTTAACCGAACGATCGGCTAATTGAAGGGAAATGTTAGTGGGCTTTAACTCTCCTAGGCCAAGTCTTTTGCAGATAGAAAGGGGAATCAAGCTTATGCTAGCACCAAGATCACATAAAGCACGATCAATTACCATTTCACCAATAGCACATGGAATAGAAAAACTACCGGGATCTTTAAGCTTAGTGGGAAACTTATTTTGAATAATTGCACTACAATTCGGCATATTAATCGTTTCCACAAAGTCAAATTCTCTTTTATTACTCAAAATGTCTTTAAGAAATTTAGCATAAGTTGGCATTTGTTTTATAGCATCGGTGAATGGAATGTTAACATAAAGCTTCCTCAAGACTTCCAAAAACTTAGCAAATTGTTCATCAAGTCTAGACCCGGCAAACCTTCCCAGAAAAGGAAGCTTTGCCACATGTAGTGGGATTTCACTCTCTCTTTTTTCTTTTTCAACTTATTTATTTTTGTTTTTCTCTTCTTCTTTTTCTATTCTCAACTCTCCATGGGAATCACTCATTTCAATCACTCTTTCTTTTGACTTCTCACCTTCTAAGTCATGTTGCATTCCCTTCCCTTGGATTTCCCCCAAGCTTTTTCCACTTCTAGTCACAATGGCATGGGCTTGCTCTCTAGGATCTAGACCTTGGCTAGGCAATGAGGTACTAGACTTGCCTTTAAGGGCACTAGCTATTTGGGCCATTTGATTTTCCAACATTTTATTGTGGGTTTGCATTTGCTTTAAGCTTTCCTCTAAGTCATTTGTATTTTTAGTTTGGGAGTTCATGAATTTCTCCAACATGCTTTCTATATTAGACTTAGGAGGAGGGGGAGCTTGAATTTGATGTGGTGGTCGAGGGATAGGAGCTAGGGTTGGTCTTACTCCTCCATTAAAACCGGGTGGGTTGTGGGTGGAAGAGTATTGGCCTTTTTGTTGGTATCTATTGTCATTTCTATAATTCCGTTGATTATTAGACACATAATTACCACTACCACTAACTTGACCTTGACCACTACCTTGCCCTTGGTTTTGGCCACTTCTCCAACCAAAATTAGGGTGATGTTTCCATCCCTCGTTGTAGGTGTTGGAGTAGGGGTCAAACCTAGGATTAGCATTCATATTATTGACTTGTTCCATAGAAGGGGAAGGGGTACATTTCTCATTCAACAAATAACAATCGGAAGAAGTATGGTCTTCACCACCACATACATCACAAGACATCAATTGCATAGACACATTATCATTTGAAGAATTAGATGCACGTGAGTTAGGGAGGGGGGAGATAGGAGGGGGAAAAGATTTCCTTTGATCAAATTTAGAAGACAAGGCATCCAATTTTGAACTAAGCATGTTAATAGCATTTACCTCATACTTTCCCCCTCTCTTAGAGGTGCTTCGCTCATCGGGGCTCCAATCGGTGTAGTTTTGGACTACATCCTCTATGATCTTTAATGCCTCCGTGGATGGCTTGTTCATGAGTGGTCCACCCAATGCCCCATCTAATAGTATGCGGTCTGATCTCAAGATACCCCTATAGAATCCATGAAGCAAGAGCCAATCTCCCATGCCATGGTGGGGGCATTGTTGTTGGTAGCTCTTGGATCTCTCCCAAGCATCATAGAGAGACTCATCGGGCTCTTGTTGAAAGTTTGAAATCTTGGAACTCAACTCCGCCGTTTTCCCAAGATGAATGAACCTTCCTAGGAATGCCGAAGTTACCTCATTCCAAGTTGTCAATGAATTCGGAGTCAACCTGTTGAGCCAATCACTTGCACTCCCCGAAAGAAAAAATTTGAACATGCTTAGAAGAATGTACTCCGGAGTCACCCCATTTGCCTTGACGGTGCTACAATACCGTGTGAATTGCTTTAGATGCGCAATGGGGTCCTCATGCTTTGCCCCGGAGAATTGATTACCCTCAATCAAGGTGATAAGGGTGGGCCTTATCTTTAAATTATTTGCTTCGGTAGTGGGAGTAGCAATCCCACTTGCTTCTTGATATGGAGGAGGAACACCAAACTCTCTCAAAGTCTTATTTGGAATAACCATCTAGATTTGGTGAAGAGGTGGAGAAGTTGGAGAATTTGTCCTTGGTGACTCTAATGGAATGGTGTATCCACTAGACTCACTAGAACTAGAGTGATAAGACTCAACTACCACTTGTGGCTCACTTGAGGTAGCACCACTAGCTATCGCCCTCTTTTCTCTTCAATTTGCCCTTACCACTTTTTCAAGCTCGAGATTCAACGGCACAAGAGGAAGTGTCCTATTGCTGCGTTTGGGCATAAACAAAGAAGACTATATGGGAGATTAGTAGGTTAGTCAAAGAAAACAAAGAAAAATAAAGCTATACAAATGAACTAGTCTCACATATCTCATAAGTAACTCAATGCTTAACGCCATTCCCCGGCAACGGCGCCATTTTGGTAGAGGATTAATCGGTCGTTGGACAATTACCCTAAACCCAACAATAATTCTACCTAAACTAACCTAAGACAAGTCTAGGGTAAGTAGAGGATCGTGTCCACAGGGAATGGGTGAAGAACACCAAGAGTATGAAACGATTGTAAGCTAATTCGGTCACAAATTGGGTTTTGAACGGTTAACTACTATATAAAAGAACGCTAGAGGAAACGGGATTCAACACCAACCAAAGCCAAGGAATCAATAAAAAAGATGAATCATGAGCACACATAGAAGATAGAAAAGGGACTTAACATTATCTTCTTTCAAAGTCACAACATAAGTACTCCCTAGACTAAGCACTAACACGACAAGGATTAAGTCTCAAGGATAGGAAGTGGGTTTCTAGCTCGAGTTTGTCTCTCGATCGCTCCGAACTAGCATGAAGCTCAAATAATTGGGATTTCTCACCTATTTACCACACTAAAGCAACCTACTTAATGAAACCAAACATCCACAATCATGAAAGTAGCATAATCTAATTGCACAAGAAAGGACTCACTCCAAAACCCCATCTTTTGATGTGAGAAGAGGGATGAACACACAAGCATATTGTGGCCAACAAAATACACATGCAATTATCAATTCAAGCACAAACAACTATCAATCCAAGGTAGAACATGAATAATTCCAAGTCAATTACCATATCTTGGTTGGGTTTTCACTCAACCCCTAACTAAGAGACTACTCACTAAACATGGTGGAAATTACTCTAACAATTAAATCTAGGGTTTTCATGAATTCAAATAAGCTAGGAAAGAGATAGAACAAGGATGGATTAAACATGTAAGAATAAATAAATAAGATTAAGGGAGAAATTATCAACTCAAAACAATTAAAATTGGAAATTAAGTGCAAGAGATAGAGGAAAGAGATTACTTAATAAACTTCAAAGTTGAGGAATTGTTGAAATTGATTGAACAAACTTCCAATAATCCTTACAAATGATTGAGATTGAAATTTCCAAGCTAAGAATTAAATCTGACTAATGATTTTTGAGAGTTTCTGTTTCTAGAATTACAAACTAAGAGGAAAGCTCTAAAAAACTTGCATATCGTACAAATGAGCAAAGGGGGGTATTTATATGACCCCCAAATAAAAAAGAACGGAGAAAACAAGAGTTGGGCACGGCTACAGGTCCGCACGGACGTGCCAGGCTTGGCACGGACGTGCAGCCTGTTTAGCACGGCCGTGCTGAGGTTGGCACGAGCGTGCACCTCCAAAAGCAGAGAGGCAAGAGCTAGTGTTTTGCCTGGGCATCCTGCACGGACGTGCCAAATGTGGCACGGACGTGCAGGCCTTGTTCTGTACAATCAGTTTTGAAACTGATTTGGGCTGAGCAAACTGCACGGTCGTGCAGGATCAGGCACAGACGTGCTGAATATCCTACACGTGCAGGTCTTGAAAGCATTAGGCAGTAGCTTCTGGTCGTGCTGGGGCACTCCTGCACGGACTTGCCATACTTTGCACGCCCGTGCTGACTTTCTAAGGCCCTTATCTTCACTTTTCTTTGGTTTTGCTCCATTGCTTCGGCTTCTAACCTCGGTTTATCATCCAAATGCCTCAAATTGTCGTCTTTGAACCTAAAAACTTAACAAAAACACTAACAACCCATGAAGGAAGGGATACACAAAAGTTGAACAAAAATAGAGTAAAATTGAACCAAAATGTCAATATACTAAGTAAACAAGGTTCGAAATCGCTCTAAAATCATATCAAATAACACGTTATCATTTTCGTACATCGATATGTATTCAACCTCGCGTTCGCATCATCATTTCTCTAAATGGGGACTTTGTTAAAATTTCAAATTAGAATGATAATTACATATATCAATAGATTCATAATCTAATGATATTGAAAGTCCATCCCTTTGGATCTTTCACATGCAATGTTCATTTTCATTTGAATTAATTGACATTTTTAGAGACAATTTATATATATATATAGAAATAGTTTAATTTAATCTATCATATAGAATTTCAAACCTATTTAGCAGTTCAAAACGCATTATGATTCAATAAAGCATAGAATAACATCTATTCCACGTTTTTGAATCTTCGATGTTTAGTCATTACTAACATTGAATAGTATTTTGTTAATGGCAAGAACAAATAACGTTTATTTAATTCTAGCCAATAATAAGGTAAGGTGAAATATAGGTTTTACTTGTAAAGTTGCAACTTTTGCTTCCAGACTTGTAGATTCTACTTGTGAAGTAGCAACATTCTCTTCTAAACTTGTAGATTTATTTCTCCTTTAGCTAATTTCTTCCTTTAGTTCAACCACATTGTGCAATGAGTGATCTAAACAAGACATCATATGTCCAAGAAGTATCAATATGCTAAATCAATTTCTATAATATAATTTTTAAATTGGAACATTTCCATTATTTACCTTCCAACTATATGAGGTAGTTTCTAATCAATTGGAATTGGTCCATTTAATTTGAAACATTTGTTGTTCATAACAACTTTTAGCATGTAAGTAGTTCTAGGTTTGAGAAGTAGCAACTTGTTTGCATTTCTTAGTCTATAACTTCTTAATGCAATCCTCTTATATTCCTAAACCTTTCCCATTTGAGCCACTTAGAACATTTCTCTTAGGTTCAAAATGATACTTTGCATAACAACTTTAAGCTCTTTTCATGTTTTTTCTAAGACTATTCAATCATTATTCATATTAGAGTTTAATCAACTATTTAACTCTTATATAAAGTGTATGAAGAGTAGCGTCATTTGATCAACTTTTGATCATAGAGATTTCCAATCACTTTCTTATATTCAATCATATTGAAGATAAGAGATTTTATTGGTTTCTATACTTGTCTTTTAGAGGATGTGTACTTCCCATCTCATTATATCCCTTGAAACATTTTTCAAAATGAAGATGTGTTGGCAATTTACTCAAACATTTTGAACAAAACCAACCTTAGACATGGATTTCTAAAACAGCCTTTTAGAATTATTTTAGCAAAATTGGAATATGGATTTATGGATTATCTTTTAAACTTTTGAGAACGTTTCTCAACTTTATTTTCAATCGAGGAGATTATATATAATATAAAATTAGAACGACATGTTACTTATAAGTTAACGCAAAATTCAATTATGTTTATTAAAATTTAAAGTACCATAAGCGAATTCAAATTGGTAACTTTAAAACATTTATTCAATATTAATTGATCCCAATTGAATTAAATGTTTCCAAGATCCTTTCACTAGTAAAAAGGCACCGCTCAATGGCCACCGGTTTTCAAAAACCGGTGGCAAAAATAGGGGAAAAATGGGCGGGATTTTGAGGGATTAGTATTGCCACCGGTTCGGTTCGAACCGGTGGCTTTGTTAAAAAATAAAAACCCGGCCTTTTCTAAAACCCACCCCTTTTGTTCCTTCCTATATATTAACCCCTTTTACCAAACCCTAGCCCCCTCATCTTCTCTCTCCTCCCTTTTTCTTTCTGAACTTATCTCTCCTCACTCCTCACAGCTCCTCCATACCCATTTTCTCATCTTCGTTCTCAGCTCAGTACACCTTCATTCTCTTTTCTCTCATCCCCTCTGCTCTTCTTCTCTTATCTCCCTCGCCTCCTCCCTCCTCTTCACCTCTTTTGAAAACCGCCGCCGCCGCCACTTACTTTCGCCGCCTAAGGTTTTTCTGGTAAAATTCGACCATGAAAACTCTAGATCTAGAGTTTTCATGGTCGAATTTGACCTTTATAACCCAAATTCTAGATAATTTCGGGGGATTTTTGGTGAAATTCGAGGTAATTTCTCTTTTTTCTTACTTTTATTTTGATTTTTGTTTTTTTTTGGTGGAATTCGTGGGTTGTGGTGGTGATTGTGGTTACGGTGGTTTAAGGTGGGTGGGTTTTGTTATTTATGGTGGAGTTCAAAATTGATTTTCTGGGTTTTAAAATTTAATTTATTTCGAAATTTTTTTGTAGTTAATTGATTTTCGAAATTTTTCTGAGTTTAAGTGATTTCGAAATTTTTCTGGGTTTGATTGATTTTCTAAATTTTTGGGGTTAATTGATTTTCAAAATATTTGGATCATTTTTTTGTCTAGGTACATGCATGAGTTCGTGAACTATTCTGGGTTTGTGAAATATTTGGGTTCGCGAATTTTTTTTTTTTTTTTTTATAATTTACAGTTCGTGAATTTTTTGGGTACTGTTTTTTTTTTCGCATTTTTTGGTAAGTTTTATTAATTCTGGGTTTAATTTATGCAGGTGTTAATTGATGCATCAAGATTCAAGACATGCAACAAGATTCAAGACTTTGATTTTGAAAAATTGTTTTAGACGTATTTTTTTTATTTATTATTTTTTATTGTACAATAATTTAAAGCTAAATTTCATTGTTTGATTATAATTCAATGTAATTTTTTAATTTTTTTTAGTATTGTACAATAACAATTTACAATAACAATTCTTTTGCGCTCATGTGATGTTATTTGCCTTACATTGATTGTTTTTATATTATAGTAATAGTATTATAATTGCAGCAGAAAAGAAAAAAGAAAAAAAAAATTATGTAGCTGTTATTGCCACCGGTTAACCGGTGGCAAAAATGTTTAATACCCAAAAAAAAAATCCGCCAACTGTAATACCCAAAAAATGTTTAATACTCGTTTTTGCCACCGGTTTTGAACCGGTGGCTTTTGCATCAGATTATTGCCACCCCCCAAATGACCACCGGTTCAAAACCAGTGGCATAGGGGGGTTTTGAACCGGTGGCTAATTGCTTTTTTCTACTAGTGTTTATTTGTGCAATAATTTACCAAATTGAGGCCCTACCATTGAGCATTGAATTTTCAAGGTGAGTAAACTCTTTACCGATTACAACTCTTTGTAATTCTTGGTTGAATAATTATCCATCACATGTTTAATTATTACCCTTAACTTCAAGGTTCTAAACTCTTTAGGTAACATTGTTGAGTATAACCAATTAAAAGCGTAGAACATGATCTACCCCCACTTCCCCAAGATATAATATGACACTCTGCTGAGGCCGACTCATCATAAAAGATCGAAGGTTTCATCGGGTTTTTAATTGGAAAAGCTGCCTCAATATTACCGTGACCTAGATTTATTATGTTGTGATTAAATAGTGAACTCTAGCGCATCATCAAAAAACATCAATAAAATCTAACATGCATAAAATACTGAATTTATAAATAAGACATAGCATGGCCCCTAATCCTAAGAAAACTAATAAAGTAAAATCTCCCACTTGAATCATCATGGATCTCATCCACCTTGCTCCTTTGGGCCTTCACTTAATGGGCGTCTTGGATTATCTGCAACCTGTAATTCTATTCTATTCTATCTACTACTTAAATAAAATAAAATAAAATAAAATTACAAAAATACTTTATCGGTACGTAGACCGTACTAAGATTACAAAAATACATCACGATACGCAGATTGTATTTAGAAATCTATTGGGCCATACTAGTCATTATATAGCAAAAATAACATCATATATTATTCAATGCCACATAATAAATCACTCATCATGCTTTCCTAAACTACAACATCGAATGTTCACAATTAAGGAAACATGGCATCTAAATATCTCATATTTTAATTAATTACTGTAATTAGATAATATCATATATTATTCATGATCATCAATAAAATATCGAATATTTTAAATTATTCATGAGATAGAATCAAATCTTATTTTAATCCTAAGATATAAATCATATTTATCCTCAAAGATTATCATAACAATGTTAGGAAATTGTATCCTAATTACTAGTCCACTACAAGAAAATAAACTTTTCGTTGCGATTATTTCAACCTTTAGTATCAATTGTAATTGCAACAAAAAGCTTTCCCAACGAATGGTCATTCGATACAATATCCCCCGTTGCCTTAGTCTTTAGTAGTGGTTTTCAATATCGCTGGGGTTGGCCTCAATAATCGATACGAAAAACTACATCCAATCCTGGTGATTATTGTAGCGATTACAATCGCTATAAATGTTTAACTCATTTTCTTCAAAAAAAACAAAAATGCTTGTGATCTTTACAAGATTCAAACATGCAACCTCAAACTCTTATATTAAATGTTTCACCAATAAGCTATGACATATTTTATGTATTCTTTGTCAAAAAATATTTATATATCTAGTGTTGAAAAGGCTTTTCGTATCGATTTTTTAGGATTTAGTGGCGATTGTAAATGATACGATTTCTCAAAATTATATAAATTTGTAAAAATAGTGTTGATATGTATTATTATGCTTTCAGTATCGATTTTATATGGGAAAAACATGGCGATTGTAAAAATGATACGACATCCTTAATTATTTCACAAACATACTTGCATATTGTAGCGAATGAACAATCGCTACGAAATAATCGCTATGAAAAGTGATTTTTCTTGTAGTGGTCAATCACAAAATTTTAAATCAATTATATCTAAAAATAGTAATGGGATAATCACATTATTTAAATCAATCTTTATCCTTTTTTGAATATGCTCAGAATATTCTAACAAATCCTATCCAAAATTAACAACTTTAATTACGGATAATTATCAAAAACCAACTTTTGAAATTTGATTTTATCTCCAAAATAAAATCATATTTTATCTTGAAAAAATGTTTTAAAACAAATAATTTAAATAAAACAATTTTTTATTTTTTTTTAAATTGTTGCCACGTCAGCCAGGGAAGAACCCCAACCAACGCAGGCAACAAGTCCTGCATTGCACGACAGTCAGCCAGCACACAACCGTAGCTTAGGAACAAAGCCCAGCCACGGCGCCACCAGCACCCTAACTGGAACTGTTCCAGCCGAACGTTGTTGCTGATGTCGTAGCGCCTGACTCTAGATCCCAGCGTCTGGCGACAGAGCCAATTCTTGACGCCAGAGATATTTCGGCAGCGACAGAGCTCGAAGCCTCCTAGAACGGCTATTTCGACCTCATACAGCAATTTTGGGTTCCTTGGTACGCTAGTTAGCCCCTATAAAAAAATTGACATGATTAGTAGTCGGCTCGATTACAATCGTAGTAAGTGATTGATCTGACTAAAAACCGTCTCACTTAGCTTAAGCGCCTAAAACACTGGCTCATTACAAGCACCAACGTATCGGATTAAAAGCAAGCACTTAAACGACAATATTTCCAAATACAGATTGTCGCGCATTCTTCATAAACAACAATATTTCCAAATATGGATTGTCGCGCATTCTTCTTAAACGACAATTTTTCCAAGATTGGATTGTCATCTCCAACTGACAATATTTCCAAAACATGGATTGTCGTGCATCTTCTTCAATGACAATTTCTCCAAGATTGGATTGTCATCTCTGGCAAAGTTTCCAAGCGTGGATTGTCGTGCTCCTTCTTTGTTTGGCAATTTTTCCAAGTTCGGATTGTCATCGCCGGCAAGTTTTCCGAGATTGGATTGTCATACACCCAATTCCCTATGGCAAAATTTCCCAAAGGATTGTCGTAGGTCTCTACTCATCATAAATTTTGGCAAAAGTTCCTCAACGTGGATTGTCATTCATTTCAGAAAGTGGCAAATTTTCCCGAAGTGGATTGTCGGTCGACTCTTTTTTGCAAATGTTCCACGACGCGGATTGTCAATAGTGGCAATATTTTCCTAAAAGGATTGTCGCATAGCATTGGAAAATTTTCAAGGTGGATTGCTTTCAAGAGTTATATTCCAAGATGTGGATTGTCGATCGTAGCAAAGTTCTTATGACATATTGTTACGAAGCATTGGCAACTTTTCCCAAAAATTGGATTTTAGCAAATTTTCCGAGATACGGATTGTCGCTTCATCGTAGCAACATTTCCAAGGATGGATTGTTACAAAGCATTGACAACTTTCCCTAAATCGGATTGTCATACATCATACAAGAGAGTTGTGTTGGCAACTGTAGACACCTAAAAATATCTCCCCAAAACCAAACCTGATGATGAACAACCTTTCACCGCCATTATTGGTCGGGTTGAGTATTTAATCTTTGGAGTGCTTAAATCCATATTTTCATTTCATAAACAAACCCAATTCCTAGCCCATTTCCCCAAACCATAACTTATTTTCCTCTTTTCGTGCCTTTAAACCAAAAATAATTCATTTCGTGTCCTTTTTTATAAAAAACGTTTAATCCAGTTTATTTTGGTCCATAATATGGGTCCAATGATTAAATAGTTGGATAGGGATTGAAAAGAGATTTCCAACGATATATTATAAGCCCAAATCCAAGTTATAACGAATAAGTTATGGCCAAAATATTAAACTGAGCCCAAACCGAACCTAAGCCCACCTTACCTACGACCCAATGATTATGTGGAGGGTCCAAATTATTTAATCCAATTCCTAAACCAATTAGGATTAATTAGAAACTTCTAAAAGTTTCTAAAAGATCCGAATTATCCTTTTTGAAAAGATAATATTAAAGAGTTTGAAATTGAATAAAACCTTTCTTTTTGAAATTCCTATTTTTATCCGAATTAAAAGATGTTGAAAGATAGACAGATATTGTCCATACTTAACCCGAGGTTCCGTCCTTAAACCAAGGCGTGAAAAGGTAGAATTAACTGATGGTTTGGAACAAATCAACTCTACTTTTTATTTAATTTAATTTTCATTTGCTTTATATTTTTATTGAAGTTACTAACAATTTATTCATGATTTAGCAATTTAAAGGAACGGGAGGAATGTGAGTAATTAATTAATTTAATTACTTATTTTATTCTTGTTGCTAGTATCATGATTAGGTTTATTATTTGATTTGACTAACACTATTATTGTTAAATTTCTTTTAATATTAATGTGTATTCTATTGTTATTATGATCACTATATTGCATGTTTAAAGGGAATATGTAATTGAAAATCACGCCTAATAAGATAATTTGGACGACCGGTTTAGGATCCTTTTTAATGTTGTTAATTAATTCAAGTGATCACAACATTTTAGAATTATATGTTGCATTAATATTCAACCAATTTAGCCTAATAATAGTTTAGAGCAAATTGAATATTTTTTTTGTATGCCTTTGAGATCGCATGAATCACTTTTCACAATAAGAATCGAGTAGAGGCCAATACGGGCGAATGTGACTCCATGACTCACTTCGTACCATCATCCCCGATCCTCCTTTTGTGGTTCCGAACCATATGGAGTTAGTAATCTCATGGATTATGAATGGGGTGTAACCTTCACGGGTCAATCGTTGTTGCCTTTGTTGTCCCTTATTCGTGGTTGCCTTTTTATGATCCGTGAATGGTTTACAAGTTCCTTAAAAACTTGTTGGCGGCTCCCTACTTTATTTTTCCCTAACCGTATTATGTAAATTCCCACTTCCTAAGAGTGCCAAGAATATTCACACATGCTTTAACGTAGGCGCACTTCAAACGACGCCTACAATTTGGCGACTCCACTGGGGAGGATTCTTGGTTATTTATCGATTTG